CCGGGGGGCCCCTCCAGAGCCCGACGGAACCGGAGGCCGCTCCGGAGCCCCACGGAACCGGAGGCCGCTCCGGAGCCGAGTCCCTGCTCCCCATCCCGCAGCCCCCGCTCCTCCCTCCTCCCCCAAAGCGACCGGCCCCGCTCCCATCGGCGCTGAACAAACGACGCCGGAGCCGAGCGACGGGGTCAATTTTGAACTTTTTTTTTTCTTTTTTTTTTCTCCTTAAAGATGACTTCCAATTTACATTAAGACAGTTCTAACAAATTCATTCCTCGTTCACAAAAAAAAAATTATATTAAATAATTTCTGCCAATAAATAACATTTTCACCATTTTTTTTTCTCTTTAAACATAACTGAAAAAAAAAAAGCAAGAATAAAAATAAAAGTAAAAAGGAGGCAGTCTCCAGGCAACGGGCCCCGATCCCGGAGCGAGGAGCCCCTGGCCACCCCCGGCCCATTGCCGGTCCCCTCCTTGTCACATGCACCTTGCTACAACATGCAAAAAGCCCAGGCCGGGGCTCCTTCCTTCCCTGCGTGCTTTTTCCTCCTTTTTTTTCCTTTTTTCTCCCTTTTTTCCCTTTTTTTTCCCCGCTAAATCCTGCGTGTCAAGCTGGATGGGGAGGGAAAGGGACGGGCAGGAGGGATGTGGATGCGCATCGCTCCGGCATGGAAGGGAAGAGCTGGGTATTCCCAGCGTTCCGCAGGCGCTGCCTCAGTGGGAATATCCCAAGCCCAAGGCTGCGCTTCCCGGTGCCTCTTCCCGCTCCGGAACCGGCCTGGGCCGCAACAACAGGCCCGGGCATGCAAGGGCCGGCAGCGCGCTCGGCTCGCGGGGGGGCGGAGGGGATGAAAAGGAAGGAAAACGGGAGAAATACTCACAGGCAAAGGCAAGCGGCCCCGCGGCGCGGACGGGGCTCGAGGAGCTTCCTCAAACATCTCGCACTTTATTTCTTTGCAAAGCGGTGGGTGTGCAAAAAGGGGGAAAAGGGGAGGCAGGGAGAGCGTCCCGCGGGAAGCCCGTCCGGGACGGAGCCCTGCGGAGCGGGGCTGGAGCGAAGGGATGCGCGAGAGGAGAGGGGGAAGGTTCCTGCTCCGGGGAGGAGGGATTCGCTTCCGAAGGCTGCCGGGCTGGAGCCCAAACGCAGGGAAAGGAGACGGGACCAAAGGGGGATCCTGCGATCCAGCCAAGCGGAATTGCGAGGCTCCGCATGCAGCTCCGAGCTCCCGAATCCCAATCCCTCCCTCCCGGCCCCAGCTCCGCGGCGCTGCCGTCCGCTCTCCTCCCTTCCCGCAGCCTTCCCGGAGCGGAGGCTCCCGGCGAAGCCGCCTCCGGAGCCGAGCGGACAAAGCGGCCACCGGTCACCCCAGGGGGATGCAAGGGGGAACATCCCAGGGGAAGGGCTTGTGCTGGGGGCCCAGAGCTGATCCCGGCCCCAGGGAGACTCGCACCACATAAATCCACCCCCTTCCTCCGGCTCAATGCAGATTTCCCAAAGAACGGAGCTCATTCCTCCGCTCTGAATCAGCAGGATTCCCAAGGGATGCCTGCGGAGCAGCCAGCTCCGGCTGCACGGAGCCTGGAAGGAGGAGCTGCAAGGAGGGGAAAGGCTTCTCCCACTTGCATTCTCCCACTTTTCGGGGGCATAGGACTGTCTCCCTGTGGGAAAAGCTGCTCCAGGCGGGATAACACCCCGGAGAGCTTTAGCACCACCGCAGAGCCACGCGTTTGGTGTCACAAGGAGCCATCCCCAGGACCACTCGCTAACGCAGCGGGCGCAGGAGGGCAACAGCTTGAGGAAAACAACAGCAAACCCTGGGAAGGAGACAACCGCGGGAGGGAGAGAACAACAAACCAACCCGAGCTGAAATGAAAGAACCCGCTCGTGAAAGCACAGGCTAACTCCGAATGGTACCAAAGTCACGGACCCGAGTTGCCTGGGACTGCTTTAGTTTCGTTTAATCCCCCCACGGAGGTTTCTGCCTCTCGTGGGGGTCAGCTGTACAGCACAAGACTTCATATACGCACTAGCAGTTAGATCGGTTGCTAAATTAAAAAAAGATGGACTTTTTATATATTGAACATAAATAAAAAAATTACAAAATGGTCACCTTTCTTACAGAATGGATGCAAACTGGATTATGAACGTGCCTCCAGGTGAAGTTGGTTTCTCCCCTGCCCCCACCCCACCCCAATAATAAATAAATAAAATTCATTAAGTTTTGGATCCTTTAGTGGTGCAGATTGGGCGTGCGGGTTACGGGGCCTTCTTCCCCGTGCCGTTCTTGTCTGCAGAGTTTGTTGAGGTTACCAAGTTCACGGGCCCGTCCGAGTGCACGGAATCCTTGCGCGGCGGCATGCGCTCGTTGATGCGGTCCAGCCCCCGGGCCTCCTCGAAGCTGCGGATCTTGTGCTGCGGCGAGAAGCCGCGGATGGCTACGGAAAAACAGGAGAAGGGTCAGGCCGGGTCCCACGCGGGGTCCCACGTCACACACGGACAGGACAAGGTCGGGGCAGCAAAAAGCACGTGTCTGGTTGAGGGATTTGCACCATCCTCCGCTTCCAGGGACCTCAGCAGCACCTGGGATCCATGTGGGCTCACCAGGATCCCCAGGGAGCCAGCAGTTGCTTGCTCCCTATTTTTTCCCCCTCTTTTAATACCATTTAGAAGGCCAGACAAGTGCTCCATGTCCCCAAACACTGAAATCTCGGGAAACTTTCAGAGCTGAAAAAAAACCACGATACTTTTAAAGGAAACAAACAAAAAAAAACAAAAGAACAAAGCAGTGAAGACACCACCACAAGGCATTAACTTCAGCACAAACCACACACTGCAACACCACGAGAAACGGCTAGTCCTGGGATCACAAGTGCAAACTTCATCTTGCATGACCAGGAGATGCACAGGAAGCCTCACGAGCCAGGACATCCCACCAAGGAGCATGGATCTGTTTCCTTACTATCAGGCTGAGTACAAAGTCCTTGCAGGAATAACACAGATCAAACGTTAGGTCTTATATTAGAGATATAAGGGGTTGCTCCAAGTCTTTTTACAAGGACTTGGCCATTTTGCAACAAATAATGAACGTATGGTGCTGTTCATCAGCAGTTGAGCAGTGCTACCCAGGAGAAAATAAAGGGACTTGATGAATCTGCTATTCCTATGGGAATTGCATGGAGATTCCAGCTTCTCTCTACAGGGACCATCTTGGCCCACCTGTGAGGAAGGCAAAAATTACACCCGAGACACAAAGTCAGCCACTTTCTGGGTGATTCTGACCCAATGTTCCGGCAGGAGGGAGTTATCCCGTGGATGAAGTCGGCCACGAGGCACCCAAATCTGACTGCAGGGCGCTCGAGAAGCCCCAGCACCGTCTGCTCTGTTTGCACTAAGGCTAAAATCGCCTCCAACCAGCCCCAGGGGGGGATTTTTTTTCATGATTTTTTGGCTTCCCACCCATGCTCCCCCACTTCTGGTGATGCAAGAGTAGAAAGGAGGGCTGCTGAAGCTCTTCAAAGCACACGCACGCACACGCGGAGGCGCCGCGGGCTCTCGCGGCGTTCCAGCCATACCTTCCCGTGCCTCTACCGCTTCTACTGTGGCTGTAAGACAGAAGAGCAGTGGCATGCAAAAATGGAGACAGAAAAAGAAACAAGTGACAGTGAGTGAGGTAACGACATCGCTGCTACCGCAGAGCCCGCGGCCTCCCCACCCTGGCGACGGCTAAAAAATGTCTGGGAAAGGAAGAGGTGACGGGAGATGGAGGTGGGAAGGGGGCTCGCTCCGGTCTGGGCTCCTTCCTTGGCCCTGCTGTGTCCTGGGGGAAATCCGATGGAGAGGCGCGGGGAAGGCGGGCGGATCCCGGGCACTTCAATTATCCCATAAATGAGCTAATGCTTCGGATGGGCTTCGGTTCCAGCCCTTCAAGTGTTACCAAGCAACGAGGCAGCACAGGGCTCCGCGGCGGCTCCCACACCCGGGGGCCGCCCACTCCCCCCGGGGGG